CTTAAATATGCTAACTGCATACTGAAATCACATTTGATAAACATGTGTGTACTACTATGCCTTTCCTCAATTAAATACTGGTGAAGTTCATTCCTTAGTTCGAAAACACGTGTCAAAACGTTTCCCTGAGACAGCCATCTTGACTCACAGTAAAATAGCAAGGAAGTGTGTTCAGCACCCATCTCTCCGCAAAATCTTGCAAACATCCTTGCCTTTACAGGCCTGGTTTGTATATAGTTCACAACATTTATGGTTGCTTGTAGAACATTCACCAATGCCAGGTTCAAATCTTTCAAAGTGAGAGCTTGCCTATGAATCATACAGTATGTCCAAACAGCACCAGGAGATTTTTGGCGTATTAATGCTTGAAGTCCTCTATGACAGCCTGACATAGAGCATGCTCCGTCAGTGCATTTTCCCACACAGTTCGACCACTGTAACAGATTTGACTTCATAAAGCTATCAATTATATCAAAAAGATCCTCAGCTTTACTCATCCCTGTAATTTCTTTACAGAAGAGTAAATCTTCATTTATTTTACCGTCATCAACTAATCTAACGTACATTATTAAATGAGTATCTTTAGTGTTATCCGTTGCCTCATCTATTTGAATGGAAAATGATTTGCTTCTTATTTTTTCAATTAGTTGCTCATTAAGATCTTCTGCCATATCTGCAATTTGGTGGCAAACAGTGTCATTAGACAAATGGATACTTAAAAGCTGTTTAGCAATAACTGATGGAAGTATTAAATTTTCTCCAATCGTGTGGGGCTTTTTGCACTGATCAATTCTGTATGCAACTTGATAAGAAGCTAAAAGTGATTTTGAAGGGACGCTTATATATTTAACTAGACTCACATTTTGTTGTTTCATTTCATCTCTTTTTTAATGAAAAAATCTCAAGGTTTGTTAGTTAAGTCTGCATGACTTGTTTCCAGATGTTATTTTAGTTTTCTTGGCTTCATACTTTCAGCAGATAGCATTTTCTGACAAATAACACAGTGAGGCTGTTCTATTCCAGTAACAAAACCACTCGTGAAACCAAAAGATATGTAATTTTCATCATACTCTCTTGATTTAGGCCTACTTTTATCAGCAGTATCGGTAGATTTGTAGTCAGCTTTTCGTTTACCACCCAACACAAACCTTTCCATGTTGCAACAGATAAAAAGTTTTTATAAATTTATAATAATTGATAAAAGAATGGAACTTCACATACACTCCAAGGACTACTAAAGATGTTGTACTAGTAAACGCTACGCTGTGTCGGCAGAGACACCGGAGACACACAAATATTTGCGAAAGAAGCCGAACTCAACTGTCTGAGATCACGGAATCGGCATTTAGATTGTCCGTGGAGAGACATCAGAGACATGCGAACATTTGCGAGAGAAGCCGAGCCCGACTATCAGTAATCACATGATCAGTGTCAATGGATTGCCAGTTGAGATACCAGAGACACACAAATTTTTGCAAGAGAAAAACTGAATCCAGCTGCAACCCCCCTCTAAGTTGTTCACGACCCCCCCAGGGGGTCGGGACCCACAGTTTGAGAAATGTGGTGTTAAATCTTCTGTTCTCAAAATGATACCATTTGCAATCATTTTTGTAATTCTTCTAGCCTCTTTCTTAAGGTTTGTGGAACTTTCTGTGTAGCATGTACAGTAGGTTCTGCATCTTCTCTTAAGTTTATCTTGTAGGTTACTGGTAGGCACCATTTTCTGTGAATACATCTTCATATAATGCTAATTAATGTTTTCATAAACGATTAGGGTTGGAAGAGACCTCAGGGGGGTTATCTAATTCAACCCCTTGCTCGAAGAAGGACTAACCCCAACTAAATCATCCCAGCCAGGGCTTTGTCAAGCCTGGGCTTAAAAATCTTTAGGGATGGAGATTCCACAACCTCCCTAGCTAACTCATTCCAGTGCTTCACCACCCACCTAGTGAAATAGGTTTTTGTAATAGCCAACATAGATCTTGCCCACTGCAATTTGAAACTATTACTTTTTATTCTGTCATCTGCCACCACGGATAGTTCCATCCTTTTTGGAAGCCCCCTTCAGGTAGTTGAAGGCTACTATCAAATCCCCCTCACTCTTTTGTTCAGCAGAACATTATTAATGAAGATGTTGAACAAAACTGGCCCCAAAACTGACCACTGGGCACTCGGATTGATACTAGCTGCCAACTAGATATTAAACCATTGATCGCTTTTTTAAGGTTTACAGGATCTTTCAAAAAAGGCTTCCATTTTCGAAAGAACCATGTCTAGACTGCGGTTTTCCTTTCAAAATAGCACTTTTTCGAAAGAGCGCCATGGCGTGATTATGCAAATGAAGCAATTTCGAAGTGCCTAATTTACATCCCTCTGTCAAAAGGGGGATGTAGTCTAGACGTACCATAGGTCTCTATTATTCCAATCACATCATAGTTACTTGATTGTGTCAGGTCATCCATTTCTTCCTGTTTGTTTTCAGGCTTTTTGTGTTCATTGACAGGCACCTAAAGAACACTAGCTGACTACCCTGCTTTCTGAATATGGATCAGGAAGCCTCCTCTTTTGCATTCTCCTCCTTGTGTTTCCTCCCAGTATCCCACTTCTTCTGGAATTTAGGTTCCCATCCCCCAGTGAACTTACTGTAAAGCTCTCCTTACTAGGGTAGCAAGCCTGCTTGTGAAGATGCTCTTTGTTAAGTGAATCCCATCTCTTCCTAGCAATCCTTGTTCCTGGAACAACATCCCATGGTCAACAAATCCAAAGCCATCTCTTCCACTACGTGCGCAACCATGCATTTATGGTCCTTAGCTGAGCCTTTTCCTTCAATAGGAAGGATGTATAAGAACACAATTTCTCAACCTCCTCAAACTCCTTTATCCTTTTTCCCAGCCATGTAATCTGCAGTGTGGTTCTCTGTCTTTCTGTCTCTCTGTGACATACACCTTCTTTATGAGAGCAAGCTCTTTACAAATATGAAGGTACAAAACTAGTTGCTTCCCTTTGTGTCCCACCACAAACTCATTTTATTGTTTTTTCCCTTTGTATTTAAGTGTGTGTGCACACTTTTCAAACTCTGGAATTACTCCTACATTGTAATCTTTCACAGGCGCTTCTGACTCTTCCATTTTTATGTATTCCTTATTTCTCCCTCTTTCAGTTTCTGTTATTACATTTACTGGTACTTCAGCGTCTCTCATGTATGTCACATACGTGCACATTTTCATTAGCCAGTGTTTTGAGTCTCCATTATTGTGCTTAAGAACAGCTCTTCTTTTCACTTGAGGTTCCTTTTTACACATAATACATCTATTGTTCTGCTTTCTCTGCACATTTTCGCATAATGGTTAGGTTTGTTACAGTTTCCATATTTGCCTGAATGCTAGGCATTTCTATACTCATACTGATTGCCACATCTCTGGTGCTATTTCCTGCTTTCCATGTTTCTGTCCTTGGACAATTTAATTTCTGTTTTCTTTTGCTGGTTTAGCTATAATACTCTCTGTCATGAGCCCCTGTGCCTTTCTCTAGACTTTTTATTTGTGTTTGTTTGTTATGCTGCTCGTCATGTACATATTGCTCTTTATATTGCCAGATCCATCTCCCTTAGCAACTACTCACAGGAACACTTGTTAATAACACCCTGCAGTAGAATCTTATAACTTCGCATACAATGTTGCCACACAGGACCATATTGATCAGCAAATTGAGTTTTCAAATGATACGTTACAAGGCATACTTTGTACAAAGATTATTACAGTAATAGGGTGTGAGTATGGGGCACATTCTATCACAAGTCTTCTAGTGAGACAATTCCTGGGGTGTGAGCCAAAATTGCCTAACTTGCTCTGAAATTGAAAAAGCTGGCAATACCATCATTATCAAACACATTCTGAGGTGGGAAGAAACAGGTTTTTTGTTAAAAAGCAGATGCTAGGTCAAAAAAGATAATTTAATCTCATGATTTTGGGGGCCAATCTCATGGCTACAGTGGCTTGACTCAATTTTAAAACTTTTAGACTTGGCAGCACCAAGGTACATGAATTCAAAGAGAAAAGTTAGGATACCAAACTATTCTCGCTAAATCACAAAAATAATGAGTCACAAAAATAAGGAAGTTTTAAGAAGCTTTCTTAACGTTCTGTTTCTAGACAGGTTGAAAGAGTTTGTGATAGGATAGTGAATTATAGCTATTATGTATTCAGCCTTATCTCAGAAGTGGCTGGTTGCCACCTGTGGCTCTCTGCTGCAGGGACTGGGGAAGGCTTTGAGCACTGCTCCCACTCGCCAGCAAATTCTCTCAGCTCCTATTGGCCGGAAATCAGCCAATGGGAGCGAAGATATTTTGCTGGGGGTGGGAGCATCATGCAAAGCCTTTCCCGCCCCCGCCCCCAACACCTGGAGCGATAGCCACAGGTACCAGCCAGCCATTTTGAGCAGTCTGGGGCTGCAGTAGGCAGGGAGTCTGCCTCAAGGTCCTGCCTAAGTAAACGCCTCCCAGCCAGAGCCTGCCTCTGGCACCCCCAACTCCTCCTTCCCCCAGGTCACCACCCAAACCCTCTGCACCTCTCTGACCCAGGTCACAACTCCATCCCAGACCATGCATCCCCTCCCACACCTCTTCTCCAGACCAGAATCCTCTCCTCCACCCATACTCCCACCTTGACCCTGTGCCCTATTTCTCTGTCCCAGGTTATTACCCAAACCCTCTGCACCTCCTTCCTCCTCTCCCCCAGACTACAATTCCCTCCCAGACTCTGAATCCCCACTTACACACCTCCCCCAGCCCAGAATCCTCTCCTACATCTATACCCCCTCCTGGACCCCTGCACTCCAAGCACCTGTCCGAAATCATAACCCCCTCCTTCACCGAAACTCCCTCTCAGATTCCACACACTCTCCTGCCCCCCGGTCTCCTACTTTGAGCTCCCTTCTGCATCCAACCTCCACCCTAGACCCCAAACTCTTTCCATAGAAAAGTGTGGCCCTTGATCACTTACCAAAATCTTGAGTGTCCCCCCATCAAAAATTAGTGCTCATCCCAACCTAGGAAATGGAGTAGCAAAACAAAACCAGACAGGAGTAAGAAACCTGAGGATTCAGTCGATCACTCACAATATTGTGTCTACCAGGACCTAAATACTATGACCAGAGACTTCCAATTAAAGTCAAGGAATACTGATTAGACATTTGATGCATTCCACAAAATAAAGCTAAATTTAACCTGACAGTCTCAGACATATTACTAAAATATATCTGCAGTGCTGAAATCCATGGCATGCAAGAGGCATTTATTTGCATGAAAATGTGATCAAGACAGATTAATAACATATAAGCTAAAATAAACATCTTGCCTACTAAAAAAATGTAATCCTTAAGTCTAGTCATTTCATCCAGCTTTTATACAGCTTTGCACACTGTGATGTGATTTCATACAGCGTGACAATCTATTTTTAAAATAAATGCTACATTAATTGAAAACATACTTACTGGTTTGTAAAAATGTGTAGATCAGTGATGGGCAACCTAGGCTAGTGAGTGGGCCGCAGGACTAGTCTTCTTTCAGCTCATGACCTAGTAAATGTGTTAGTCTCTATGGTGCAACAGGACTTTTTGTTGTTTTCACAGTTACAGACTAACATGGGTACCCAACGGAGTCCTGCAGCTAAGTGGGCTGTAATATTGTTGTAAACAAGCCAGTCTCCTGGGATAGGGTAGTTTTGCGTGCATGCTTAGAATTTGTGGGGTGTGCCAACTGATTTGTAGCAGCATTTTCATTGGATGCAGAGGGAGCGCATGGCTCTCACTATCAATGTTGTGCACGCATCTCACTTCACATGCCCTTGTTCTTCATGCATATCACTTTACTAATATAGGAAGGAAAAAATGATGTGGACGGAAACCAGCAGAATGTGGCAACCCTGCAGCATGGGCAACAGTAAACAAAATGTCCCGTGGACCACACACAGAACCCTGATGGACCTCATGCAGCCCCTAGGCCACAGGTTGCCCACACTTGTGTAGATTGCTATTGTTATATGAAGGGAGAAAGAAACTAAAGCATTGTGTGCACTCCAGAATAACCCCAGCTAAGCAATCAGTGGAAAACAGTTGTAACTGCACCTGAGTTAGATCTCTAAGGCCTGTTTTATACTAGACCAGGCAAGTCAGCTTAGGGTACGCAACTGCAGCAACACAAAATGCATAGCAGGAGTCGGCTTACCTTAAGTTGAGCAGTGGCGACATCCACACAGCGGGAGGCTGTTGGCTTCCCTTGCTCCTTGCAGATGGGGGAGTACTCGATGCCAGTGGGGGCTGCCCTCCATATTCAATTTAGGGGTCTATACTGGACCCATTAAATTGAATTCTAGAAGATCGACCTCTGGAGTGCTGATCTTCTTGTAAGTGTAGACATGCCCTAACTCATTTCTTTGATTCTTTACCATGGTCAGATGAGATGGTGTCTCAGAAGTTATTATTATTTGTATTAATATAGTACCTTCCAATAAAAGGAAAAGGAAAAGGAAAAGGAAAAGAAACAAGCCAGACTTTAGACTGCCACAAGATTGCCAATTTGATGAGGACAAGGGGAGGCCAGTATAGAAGGATCATTTCAACAATGTTACAGGGAAAATAATTTTCTATATACTTTCTTTCCCTTCCTCTCAAAAACTGCAGCACACTGAAAAATGTATGGGATGAGAAAGCACTTTGAGTTTAACACAGAAATAAACAAGTGACTCTGCACTGATAACATTAGAATGGATGTGGATGGAAGTGAGGAAATGGTTTATTGAATTGACACAATATAATTCTGAGATTCCCACTACAGATGTGTAGGGTTTGCCAGTTAACCTTTCCAAGTGATGCTTACTGGTTACAGTTAACTGGTGGGGGGCTTGTACACCCCCCATCCACCGCAGGCATGGGGTGCTCCAGCCCTGGGTGGCCCCCTGCAGGCAGGAGGTGCTCCACCTGGAGCACCTTCCATCCACAGTGAGCCAGGCCTTGTGCACTGTGGGCACTGGCCTGAGCAACCTCAACTAGCCCCCATTTAAATCAGTTAAACATAATATTTAACCAGTATTGAAGGTAAAATCAATAACATCATATAGTGCTTGGGACTGCTTGGACTCTTTCCAGCCAAAATTAACTCATGTTATGCATGTGGTGCTGGACAGCTTTGCACACTGCTCTAAAACTCTGCACACAGCACAAAATCTGTACACACAACACCAAAACTTTGCATTTGGCACAAAAGACTTTGCACATGGCGCAGATTCTGCACCCGGCACTACACAGTTTGCACACTGCACCAGCCTCTACTTTCCTGTCTAAGGGTACATCTACACTACAGCGCTAGTTCGAACTAACTTAGTTCGAATTAGTTAATTCGAACTAAGCTAATTCAAACTAGCGCGTCTAGAACTAAAAACTAGTTCGAATTAGCGTTTTGCTAATTCGAACTAGCAAGTCCACATTGAGTGGACTCTGGACAGGGCTTAAGGATGGCCGGACGCAGTGCCGGCAGGGCATCAGAGGAGGACTTAGAGCGTGGAGATGCTGTCTCAGGCTAGCCGAGGGCTGCGCTTAAAGGGTCCCGACCCCCACCCCGGACACACAGTTCTAAGGGGTGCCCCGCTTGCAAAGAAGTTCTGGCTTGGAGTGCCCTGAGTGCCCACACTGGGCACATCACACCACTCGGCCATCAGCCCGGCTGCACTTGCCGCAGGCTGCCATCTGGGGAGAGGGAGTAATTGGGGGGCTGCAGGAGAGCTTCCACCCCCAGAAGCCCGCAGAGCCAGCCCAGTCCTCCCCATCGGGGGCTCGTACCCCATTCCTCCCTCACCTCCTTCCACTTACCCCTCCCTAGCCCCCCTTC